GGGCTTCATAGAACGGAACCTGAGGTGCTGTATTCTCAGACAGAGACCCATTCAGGAGAGACTGTTGTCCATGCTTACCAGACGACACAGGTGGTCACCTCAGAGCCGTCAAGCCAGATTGTCAGCCCATTGTCTGAGGGTGGACATTCTTATTCTGACCAGCCAGCTTCAGTTCCGGAACCTGCTCTGCCCGAAGGATTCCGAGCCGATGAGAAGGCTTATTATGAAGACGAAGACACAGATTACGAGAAGGTTCAGTATGAAGATGCTCGAGATGAAAGCTATGACTTCCAACGGGGTAGCGACAGATTTGGCGATTTCTCTTCAGATGCTGATACTTATCGAACAGCTGACCAGTCATTGGATGACAGGTTAGATCAAAGCAGATACTCAGACGTTGATAGTGGTAGATATGTCATTACCCAAAGGTCTGAGGATGCCAGTGAAGACCTGCAGGACCAGACACTACGTGCAGATGATGGGGACCTTCAGTATAGGGACTTCCCAGGTGAAAGGTCCGGGGCAGTGAACAAGTACCAAGAAGATGAGAGCTGCATTGAAGAGGACTCCTATGAGATCATAGATGACATCAATGGCAAAGCTGAAGCTGAAGCAGATGACATAGACCAGCTGTCAAGAGTGAGACCCACCGATGTCATCCTGACCCATCTCTCTGAAAACGTTGGATCATCTGTAGATTCCTTAGGCTCACCTGTGGATCCAGTCAGCCGCTCACAATCGAAATACTCAGAAGTTGAACGCACAGCGGAATTTGCTGGCTCAGATAGAGGCCCAGACTCGACCACTGCCACGGTTGTCCATCAGACGGGCACGCTTGGGGAGCTTGCTGCTGGGCTCAGAGATGAAGACTTTGTAGATCGACGTGAACAGACACTCCGTTCTGAGAAACATACCCTCTCTAGTGAGGATATTTCAGGCAGATCCGGGGGCTTCCAGTCAACCTCTTCCAGCTACCCCGTGCCGTCTCCAAGGACTCTAGCAGGGACTGTGCTTGTGGTCGACGAGTCTGCTCTGGACGACAGTACTGAAGGTACATGCTTTTTTTTTTTTTTTTAAAAATTTGTCCAGAAAGGATCCTGGTTTTTAGTATTCATTTTATCCCCTTGTGGGTTCCAGGAGTTTATTTGGGAGAAGAAAGAATAGACCCACTGCCCCCTTAACAAGCATGTCATAGTATGTGACTAATTAGGGGTGATTTCTTTAAAGACTGAGTCCCTCTGCTTTAGAGAGAAGGACCCAGCTGTATGCTAAGAAGCCAGATCTGTAAAACAAATGTGCACAAAAACTCAAATTCTGGACCAAAGTCCAGGAGTAGGTGAACAACCAGAACTTTCCGTTGGAGTTAACATCTAGTGAAGGATAAGAAGAAGAAGAAGAATTCATTTAGACTGACCGAGGCAATAAGACCATATGAGGCACATACCAGAATGCATGTTTTTACTGAGCAAGAGAACACACCATGTCCTCTTTCACTGTCATTCATCTCCAATTGGAGCATAGGCCTATCTCCTCTTTCACTGTCATTCATCTCCAATTGGAGCATAGGCCTATCTCCTCTTTCACTGTCATTCATCTCCAATTGGAGCATAGGCCTGTCTCCTCTTTCACTGTCATTCATCTCCAATTGGAGCATAGGCCTATCTCCTCTTTCACTGTCATTCATCTCCAATTGGAGCATAGGCCTATCTCCTCTTTCACTGTCATTCATCTCCAATTGGAGCATAGGCCTGTCTCCTCTTTCACTGTCATTCATCTCCAATTGGAGCATAGGCCTATCTCCTCTTTCACTGTCAATTCATCTCCAATTGGAGCATAGACCTATCTCCTCTTCCACTGTCATTCATCTCCAATTGGAGCATAGGCCTATCTCCTCTTCCACTGTCATTCATCTCCAATTGGAGCATAGGCCTGTCTCCTCTTCCACTGTCATTCATCTCCAATTGGAGCATAGGCCTGTCTCCTCTTTCACTGTCATTCATCTCCAATTGGAGCATAGGCCTATCTCCTCTTCCACTGTCATTCATCTCCAATTGGAGCATAGGCCTATCTCCTCTTTCACCGTCATTCATCTCCAATTGGAGCATAGGCCTATCTCCTCTTCCACTGTCATTCATCTCCAATTGGAGCATAGGCCTGTCTCCTCTTTCACTGTCATTCATCTCCAATTGGAGCATAGGCCTATCTCCTCTTCCACTGTCATTCATCTCCAATTGGAGCATAGGCCTGTCTCCTCTTCCACTGTCATTCATCTCTAATTGGAGCATAGGCCTATCTCCTCTTCCACTGTCATTCATCTCCAATTGGAGCATAGGCCTATCTCCTCTTTCACTGTCATTCATCTCCAATTGGAGCATAGGCCTATCTCCTCTTCCACTGTCATTCATCTCCAATTGGAGCATAGGCCTATCTCCTCTTCCACTGTCATTCATCTCCAATTGGAGCATAGGCCTATCTCCTCTTCCACTGTCATTCATCTCCAATGGGAGCATAGGCCTATCTCCTCTTCCACTGTCATTCATCTCCCAATGAAGCATGGGCCCTTATCTCTTTTCAGTCCTGAACAATTTACCATGTGTTTCTGGATCACATCAAAGACAATATCATTTACCAGCTGTCATCTGTCATAGAAAAATGTTATATCAGTCTTTATAGTCTTCTTCTTCTTCTACGTTCATCCGAAGATGTAATTGCGTTGTCTCCGTTTACAGCATGGCTGCGATATTTGCACCTTTCGGCCAACACATCCGACTTCTGTGGGCATTTGTTGACTGGGTTAGCCTTCCCGGTGTCTTTATAGTCTAGATTACTAGTTCAGCTGCTTTTGAGCTAAACAATTTGGGGTGGAATGAGTTGAAATAATGATCACTTCGGATTGAAGGAGGTAACTCACCCATGTCAGGCCCATTTGTCTACTTGCTCATCATTTGTTTCTTGTCTAATGGAGCTTAGGCCTTCAACCAAATCAGGTCAAGTCATGCTCTTTTAGACTTGTTCATGGTTTGTTGTTTTTTTAGCCCCCCCCCCCCCCCCCCTAAAGAAATGAAATAGCCAACATCAAGCCCAAGCTGAACAGCACGCACATGCCTTTGAATACAAATGTTTTAGATGGGTTCTAAAAATATCATAGGTAAAGAAAAGAACAAATGCGAAAATACTTCAGGAACTGCATATTGAACAAGGTTGGCTTTTTAAAGACGATAAAACACAAGAAATTGAAATGTTTTGGTCACTTTAAATGTCATGAAAGTTTAAAGAGAACAATAATGGAGGGGTATATGCCTGGGAAGAGAGGAAGAGGAAGGCCAAAGAAAAGATGGGTGCAGGTTGTTGCAGATGATCTCCAGGTGGGTATATCAGACGTGGGACATCTTGCTTATGATTGAGAAGTTTTTTAGAGGGTTGTTATGGGAGCTCAAGGTTCTGCAAGGGACATGCTATTGACTGACTGACAAGACCAACCTTACCCATTGTTTCCTCTTATGACATACCTGGCAGGGTGCACAGTTATTATTCTTTGCTTCCTATGAGGACCCTGGTAACACATGGGCAGACTGGTTAGATTTTGCAGCTAGTTTTTTGGCAGAACAAAGTAGCGTAGTCTCCACTTAAGATATGCATGATAAGTTGCAGTGTTGCTAATTGTTGCTTTTTAGTAGGTTCTTCTTTCTTCTGTGTTCTTCTTTTTAAAAAAACAAAAGTGTTAAGCACATTGTGTTGTGTTTTACAGCTAGACCGTGATATGTTTCAGCCAGCCACATCCGATTTCAGCAAATCTGTAATTAATTATCTTTTAGGACCTGCCTGTTAAAGGATAGTGGATCTGTTCTGCGAGGCAAGGAACCAACAGTCTGCACATACATAAGCTAGAACTACAATATGGATGTGCACATAAAACTCAAGCTCTGGAACAAAGCCATCAAAGCCCAGAAGAACCAGAACTTTCTGCTGGAGTTAACAGCTGATGAATGAGAAGAGGAAGACAAAGAAGAAGAAGAAGATGGCCACAGTCACATTTTTCTTTGGGACATGTGCGAAGCAGTAGACTTGAGAACTTGGTAACAGCTGGCACAATTGATGGGAAAGCAGCAGCGGGTATCAAAGAGATAATAATACCTTAATGGCTTGGCCACATTGATGGGGGTAGGGCAAGAACACTGACTTGATCTGTGCTTCCAGTGATCATGTGGGATATCAGACGTTGACTGCCTATGCTAGTTGACAGGGCAGATAATTTCAGTAACTACAGGCATGTTTTTCTCACTCGCTTCGCTGGAATCTTGATTTTTATTTATTTATTTTTTAATTTTTTTTAAATTTTATTTTCAACTTACATCAAGCTATGTTAATTGTGCATGTGAGTGTGATTGTCTTTGTTATTCAATAGTACTGTTGAATTAGCTGATTTATTTTTGTGCGTTAGACATCTCAGCTTGCTTTTACTTACTGACTTAGTCTGTCCTTGTCTTCCTTGGGGTGTCCTCGTCTACCAAGGGGTGTGGAGGTTTGCCAGAGAGATTGCCAGACTTCACTATGTGCAATTTTCTTTTAGGCTCTGTTCCATTCCAGTCCTCTGTCAGTAAGGGACTGTCAGTTGTTGTCTTCCCAGCGGACCCTAGGTGGTCTGGTTCCCTGTGTGATATACCAAGATGCTTTTGCCTAGTGATGCAGTCTCCCCCCCCCCCCCCCACTCTCTCTCTCTGGCATGTGTGCCTTGTTTGAGACCCTTTGAAATAAAGTTTGTTTGTTCGTTCTCTATCTCTCTTCCTCATTTTCTGTCTCTTTTTTCTCTTTCTCTCTTTCCTTCCCTTTCTCTTTCTCTCTCTCATTTACTCTCTCTCGTTCTCTATCTCACTCATACATACAAAGTGATATTATTGTTTCGCACTTAATGTGTTTATATCATATGTATTCTGTGTCTCTCTTGCAATGGCTTGTTTTCTCATGTCCTACGTTGTTTTCTTTGATTAATGTTTCTCTAGGAGCCTATGTCGAGGGTTCTGCAGCAGCTCAAGACATCACTCCTCTGGAAGGATCATCAGTTGATGTCGTCAAAGACACGATTCCTCCTGCCGAAGGAGTGGATGTTGATGAATATGAAGAACTCCTACCAGACGGCACCGTACACTATACTCGCAGAGTCCGCAGTCACTCTTTCAAAAAGGTTGAAAAAGATCTTCACATCAAAGATCGAGATCAGGGACATGTAGAAGAAGCACTGCTTGTGCCGGAGTTCGATAAGGAAGATGTTGTGGAAACGTTTGACGAACCTCCTCGTGTGGTCAGAGAAACAGAGAATGTTGAGCAGATTCTGGAAGATGGGTCCAGAGTTCAGAGAAAGGTCATCTACAGTAGAATGGTCCATCACACGCGGACTCATGAGGAGACCTTTGACCCCGCCCAGGGGCGACAGTCTGAGGATTTTGAAATTTCTGAGGTTGTACCTGGCACGATGTCTGCTTTTGTGGAAGGAAGTGACTCAGATGAATCTGATTACTATGATGACGAGGAGGAGCAGGATGAGGAGCAAGTTGAGGGTCGGGATGTTCGAGATATGGAGGAGAGCACCCAGGTCATGGATGACGGAACTGTAGTTACAAATAGGTTGATGGTGGCTAACCTGACCAGAAAGTCCAGATCTAGATCGGGGTCGATAGAAGAGATCCAAGAGCATTCCAGGATAGAGGAGGAGTGTGTCACGCCGAGGTCTCGGTCTCCCGTTGGAGAAATCAGTTACGACTTAACTGGGAAGCAGGCTGTGAGCACGTCCAAAAAGACAGCCCATGTGGAGGTTACACTTCAGCAAGACACTGAAGAGAGGTCTTGGGAGGTGGTCGAGGACGAGTACAAGAGGGCAGCTCTGGATGTCCCCAAGCATGACCAGGACAGAGATGAGAGCGGTGATGTGTTCTCTGATGTAGGGGAGGCCCATTCTTTGAGCCACGACACGGAGGATGAACTCTCAGGCCTACAAGGTAAAATATAGTTTGATCATGTCTTAGAATTACATCAAGTGAAGTACTTACAATTATTTATCTCCAAAGTGGTCCTGCGATCTCTGGAAGCATTGCCTCATCTCTTAATGCTTCTTCTTTGGCTTTCATAGTTAAAAGGACGGTTGGCATATTGTGTTGTGGTTTACAGCTAGGCTGAGATATCATCTGTCCCTTTCAGTCCAGCACATTCAGTTTTATCCTTAGGTAGTTACCTTTACTACATACTTGTTAAAGGGGCAGTTTGTCCCCCACACGCACGCGTGTACACACACATGTACACATACATTCACAAATTGAAATCCCAAAAAGCTGAGACCTTGAATGTGTGAAGACTTGAGAATTAAATGTCACATATTGACGCCATGTCGTGTTATTTCAGCTGAAGACTGACATGAAGCACCACAGAATTTATATGTCTAATTGCTCAAAAACTTATTCCTGGAAAATAATGTGGCAGTTTCCCCTTGTCCCCCACATTATAATATCTACTATACAGGTTGTCTGCCTTCCCAGCTTCCCTATATAGATTTTACACATCTTCTGCGTGTGGGTTCCGATGCCCCATTATGGGGAAAAACAAGAATTTACCCACTGTGTTTCACATGCTGATCATGAGTCGGCTAATTAGTGGTTTCCTTCAGTCAGAGCGCTTCTGCCTGAGAGGCAGAGAACCAATAGTTTGCCTAAAATGAGCCAGATTTGTAAAACGGATGTGCATAATCAAAGATCTGGAACAAGACTAAAGTCCAGAAGTGGATGAACAACTAGAACTTTCTGCCGCAGTTTACAGCCGGTGAACATAAAGAAAAATAATACATAATGCCTATGTGTATGAACAGTTAGATTCCCTTCAAAGGCTGGTATGTGTGTGCAATCTAATTTCTTTTTCATGCATGTGTTTGTAAGCCTATGCGAACTTATTCTGTTTATGTGTGTGTGTGCATGCAATGTAGTTTCCTTTTAATGCATGTATGTATATGCACTCCAATCCCTTTTAAATTCGTAGGTCTATGTAATCTAATTCTGTTTAAATACATATGTTTTGTTTGACTAATTTCCTGTTCTTTGCATGTACAAGTATGTTGTCCTATAGTCAAAGCTGAATTTGAGCACCAAATTCTCTTTAAATAAAGTTAGTCATATGGCTTATTTTTAATGCTAGCCCCTATAATTTAAAGACAAATCCGCACTCACAGGGAGCTGTCAGGAGTACAAGGCCAACCGCCTTTACTTCTCAGGATATATCTAGGTACCCATTTTTGCCTATGTCGACATGGCCACCCAGGACATGTGTCAGGATTGAAACTGGAACCAGTATTCACTAGGCCTGTAGGCTGGCATGCTACCCACTCAGATTCTTTATAGTGGGTGATAAGAAAATGTTCCGCCTGTAGGGAAAGTAACAAGTTAGAATAAACCAAATCATTACCGACTGACGTTCAATGCCACTAAGATGGCACAACGAGCGATAATAACACCCGGTGACACAAAGTGCTACCATTCAGATAATAGCCTGGGTTCATCAAGTCCCAGTCCTAGAAGGCCTGTTCAACCCGTAGGTTATATTTATGGTCCCTGATGACAGCCAGGGTGGGTGGACTGAAATATTTAAAAAAAAATATATATATATATCCTATTTTGGGGCGGATTTTATAATGAATCCTTTCCCACACAGGATTCCAAGTTATTTAAGTCTCCTATAGCAATTATTGTTGCCCTAATTAAAAATTATTTGAAAATTGAAAGAGATGTTGGGAATTGCACAGTTGGCTTACCATCCATATTGAGATCTTGTAATCTCAGGATAGTCAGACCTTCAGCTAAGGGAGGGAAATAAATTGGAAGAAAGGGAAGTAACAAATAAACCACAACAGGTATTTGCATCGTTTTTCTCTCCCTTTAATTTCTCCAGCCTGGAGAGATGTAAGTTTTTCTGGTTACCCCAAGCGACAGGTCACCAGAAGTGCTCACTCTGACGACCTTGACACCTCAGGTGGGCCACGATAGAGCAGTCATATATGCTGATTAGCCTTAGCACACAAATATAGCTAGCTGGTGCGTGTGTGAGTGTGACAGTTTTATGGGTAGTTTTTGGCATGTGACAAGCTTTCCAAGAGTTGCTGCTTCCACAAATGTATCCCTTTAACTTAGTGGTTCCCGACCTTTTTCGAGTTACCACTCAGTATTATAGAGGCATATTGACTCCTGACCCCATACGTTAAAAATCTTGTTTTCTTATAAAGCGTACAATTAAAACACTTCCATAATAGACATTCCTGCATTCCCCATACATTTCTGTGATAATGAGATTTGTGTTTGTTTTCATTTTTTTTAAATTGTTATAACTCACCCTGCACAGTGACCCCATAGAAAACCCTTCATAACCCCAGTTGGAGTCGCAACCCATAAGTTGGGGACCCTTGCTTTAACTCTTTCAGCACCAACAATTGACAAAACTTGTCTTGGTCACTCAAAAGATAAGACACTATTCTCACTGTCGTTTTTTCACAAACAGATGTTTGTATCTCTTTTTGTATCTCTCCAAAGTAACTCAGTTTTGGGGCACATGATGCTGTTTATCAACTAGTTGTCCTCGGTGTTCAGATCGTGTAGGACGTAGTTATTTCTCTTCTTTTTAGTCTTTAGTATTCAAAGAATGTTTTTTGTAAAATGTGTAGCATTTTAGTTGAAAAGCTCTGAGTTTTAAGCCGTATTGATTAAAATATTGTTAGTCTGCAGCTCCTGCTCTTGGTAGCATGTCACATCTAGTACTTTATTCATTAGGTATAGACTTTCTAACAACTAGAGCCTTTATTCACAGGGTTCGGGAAATATTGATACTAACTAGGGTCCTATTCTGAGGGAGGCTTTGATGGCGTTTGTGTGCATGTATTGGAATAAGAGTGATAGCGTCTATTACTTTCTCGATTAATGTTTTCGGGTTAATTTTTTTTCTAAAGTATCGCTTTTGTTTTTTGTTGCACCCATATATCTCTAAAAATGCACCAGTTTCTGCTTCTCCATCATGTTCACCAAATGCCCGTAGAGAGGAAATGAGGTAAATAGAGGCAACTGCAGTTGAACTAATTGCAAGAAATGCTAAATATAACACAAAATGTGACTAGAAAGCTCAACAGTGGGATGGAAAAGGCACGCACAAACACAACTGAATGGTTTGACCAAAGTCTTTATCAATGGAGTACTAAATACAGCATAGACTGTGGCTCGAACAGACAAGACAGAGCTCAGAAAAATGCCTGTAGAGAAAAACATTAGAAGCAAACAGGTATAGGCAAGAAGATTTTTTTTTATTTCAGTCCAGTTAGAACAGTTTTTTTTTTTTGTTTTTTAACAAACTGTTGATTTGATTTTTTTGTCCCTTGAAATGTGTGGTAACGAGGTTTAACTATACTAAATAAACAAGTTCATAAAGTATGTTTTAACAAAGAGTTCTTTTGTATTTGTAGTTTAGTTCACTTTTTATTTTTTTTTTCAACAGTCTCAAGTCATATTTATAGTCCACATTACATTTTCACAATATAGTTTGCTTCTTTTACTTTTACTAAGTAAACATGTCAGTTCATAAAGTATTTATTAACACAAAATTCAGTTTGATTTATAATTTGGTTCATACACTTTTTTGTGTGTCGTTGAAACTGCCTTCAATCGCATTTATAGTCCGCAATGTTACATTTTTGTTTTATAAATGCTGCAACCACATTTATAGTTGAATTTATTACAGTTTTATTAACAAGGATTAGCACTCTATTTGTAGTTCAGTTACAGTTTTCTAATACACACAGTCACAATTGTATTTATTTTCAGCATTTAACTGACATGAACTTAAAATGCATTATATTTCGGGAATTAAAATTTCTTCTCTTTTCATGTACACTTTTATAATATTTATAGAGATTGAATTTTCAATCATATTTATATCTCTGCTAATATTTCAGTGATAATTATATTTCATTTAGTATTTCTTCCACGGTATTAATTTTTGTGTGAATAATGTTTAAAATTTATTATTTCAGTGATTAATTCATCCATATTTAGATTTCAGGGAAAGTCTTCTGTCACATTTATATTTATGTGACGAATATTTCAGAAATATGTATATTTTATTGAATAATTCTTCCCATAATAATTTTTATTTGATTAATTAAACAGCTTGCAGCGACTAAACAACGAACAAAACAGTGTCTTAATCTGAACCCTTTAAACTGTCTTTTTATTTCAGTGATCAGACCCTTTATCGCCATTTCCCAGTATTTTATTTCGGTTGGTTAATCATAAACACATTTAGATTCAGAACATGGCACAATGTACACAGAGGCTAAAGATAGGTTCTACAGCAGTTTGTCTATGTGAGAAACCAGAAGATATTTCTGCTGCATCACTGGAGTTTTGCGTATGAAATTTGTATTGTGATTATTTCAATGTTAATAACACAGTTGTTTCCCTCATTATAGCCAGCCAGGGGACAACTGAGAAAGGTACTTGAAAACATAATGTGTTCTTTTGAGGCAGCTTGTGTGTGACACTTCTTAATTCTGAGTATACGTGCCCAGAAGCCATCTTTGAATGAAAACATCATCGCTCTTTGGCAACATATAGGATCCTTTTTATGTCAGTGGCACTTTCACATATGGTGCTAGACTTATATGTTTATATTTAAAAACAGTACACTGCACTGTTGATTGCCCAGCATATTTTGCTGTTTCTCATCAGGTGCATTGCTACAATATAATAAAGCATAAAATTGAATTCTTTTCACTACAAGACACAGATCACATTATCAGGCTGCACTGTACATATCTTTGCCAGAAATTCAAGATCAACCACATAGTTACCATGGCATATCCAATTTATCACAAGTTCTTTTTATTTACACAAAGACCAGTCAGCATGCGGTGGGTGTTAGGGTCATCGTCATCACACTGGCCATGTTTACTTCCCAGGCATGACCTATTACCTTTTGTTAGGCAGGATTGACCTGGGTGCCAAGGTGTGTTGAAAATTAATCTGCTTTGAGGCAGATTTGAACGCTAGACCTTTGCGCTGGGATGGCAGGTGAGCATCCCATGGCACCAGAGCCATTCAAATAAGTTTACTCGTGGGCCAGAAGCCCGAGCATGTACATAGAAAAATCATTAATACAGTACCATTGGCAGGTGACCCCCTGGCCACTTGCGGCTCAGATTTGTCCCGTGGGTGGTCATTTGAATAGTCCTGCCTGCTACAATGCAGCTGCTCCTGCAAAATAAATAGATAGAACAGAATGTACTGCTCTTTGTATTAACAAAACAATGTGTCAATAAAAAGAACATATGCTAACTTGTACAGTTCGTACAAATATCAAAAGAATGCTATAGAAAATTTTGTTTGAGAAATATAAACAGTAATAAAATCTGTATTCATCAGATTATGATAGTTTCCTTTTTTAAACCACTGAAGGTTAACTTCTGTTATTGTTAGCTTGAGATTCTTGCCGCCTGAAGTGGCTGGCAGTAAACTTGGAGTTAAGAAGTGTGTTGATTTGTTTTTATGTGGATGTTCTCTGTTTTACACTCACTGTGACTTTTGAGTGCACATATAGTTTGTAGCCAGTACTCCGTGAAAGGCTTTTGTACTGTAGTGTGTGCTTTCTCGCAGTAAATGCCAGTTTGTCATATGCATATATATAATTATAATTGAATTAACATACAAATGAATGTTTTTTCTTCATATATGCTCACTTTCCAGTATTTAACGAATACTTATTGTTTATATTTGTAAGAATCATTTTCAGTTTATCAGTGAATATATTGTAGTTTCGATATAATTTATTGTACTGTTTTTCTGATTGTACTATGATATTTGTATACACACAGATACTTTTTCATTGTTTTCTATATTGCCAGTGAAATGTCTGTAGACTAGATTTATTTCTTGTAGTGTTTTTCAAATGTTCCATGAAATGTTTATAGCATGCATATAATTGTTCAGTGTTTTCCATTTTAAAGTTGGTATATATCTGCTTGCAGCGTTTTACATATTGTCTTTCATATATTCATAGGTAAAACTTTACACAAAAACACCAGAAATTTCCCGTAAAACGTTTTTAGAATCAAAGAACTATCATTACTGCATGCAGGATATAGAAGTTGCTGTCATATAGAGGCCTGCGGATCCAAAAGTAATGGGTTCAAATCCGAAAAGAGCCTGAATTTTTTTTAATGAACTTGGCTCCCAGGTGGACCTAGGCTTGAGTGAGTACCAAGAGAGGCCCTGGGATGTAAAGATGGCCAGCATTATGGTGACCTAATCACCCAGTGAGTGCTGATTGGTCTATAAAATATAGTTTTAGCATTGTATACCTCATTCACCTGAAGGTGTGGAAATGTTTATATGCAGGACATTCCCACATATGCTCTATACCAGTCTTCAGGAGCCAGCGAAGAGTTTGTATGCTATTGGTGGCAGTGGTAAACTGATCGAAGTCTCTGATCCCCTGTATGTTGAATGTCATCCAGATGCTTATCTCACTCACTGCTGAATCATTCTCTCCGATTATGAATGCTCTGTTCATTCGTACTGCCTACATCAGGGCTTTTCACTTGGTAGACTTATGCCGAATTTGGCCTGCAAAGACCTAGCAAGTGACCCGCAGATCATTATCTATTCTATTAGGGATCTTTCTACACTGTGGCTCAGGCCTCTGGTCTGTGACTACCCCAAAGTTCATCATTTGGACCCCTAAATAAACGTAGTTGAAAAACCCTGATCTGCATTATCAGAGAGAGGTTTTAGTATGATCACAGGGAGCTTTCATCATGTCTGCCAGTAGCTTGGTGCCCTGAGGAGCAACAAGCGGTCTGTTAACCTGTTCATTGTCATTAAAAAAAAATTTACCAATAATAATTTATTAACAATAAACATTACCTGTCTGAGTGAACAGAGAGCACTGTTGTTCTGAGCTGGTCTTAATTATAGTGTGTTTCAAAAGTTATG